AGGGAAAGAGGTCGTATGATGATAAAGAACTTGACGAGAGATCCGAGAAGCCATCGATACGTCTGTTTCAAGATGAACTCGAGGGTGAAGATTTCCTTTTCCGAACACGCATCAATGATGATGATGATGATGAGAGCAATGGAGATAGTTGATGTTCTGCGTAGTTCCTTCTTCAATGTAGTATCAGGATTGATTCTTTGTTCATTTGGTCACACACTCTTTGTTTATGCTCTCTCTCTCTCTCTCCCTCCCTCCCTCACACACACACACACAGAGTGAATCTTGGACATAGGGTTCTAAGTGGAGTTGAACCAGGCACTTGACTCAGTTAACCTTCTTCTGGACAATGTCCTTTACGTTGCGACATTACTTGAATAAATAAATTTGGACGTGACTTGTATGCAAACCATAAAAAGCAAGGGAAAAAATCATGGGTATTAAAAAAAAATCAAATTTTTATTGTATTTAAAATATCTTAATTTCTTCTACAGTAACTGGTTTAATTAGTGCAGAATAATAATTATCTTTAAACAAAACGGACACCAGACTTTTCGGAAGAAATCAGGATTTAATATTTTGTTTCCTCTTTGGAGGAAATACGAATATATTGATACGACGACTCATATCGTTTTGATTTGCGTAATAATGTGAGCGCGCCTCCGTGCGTTTCCTTGTCAGTTATTATCACCCAGCCCCCTCGCCGGTGTCTCTTTTCTCATCCGTTTGATCACGTCCTTTCCCCCTTTACATTTTCCTTCTCCGCGCCCGAGGAGTGTGTTGAATTTCACTCTTTGCGTAATTCTGATCGATGGGTGGCTGTCTGAGCAGCGAGGAGGAGTATTATTACTCCTCCGATCAAGAGTTGCTTAGCGTGTGGGACAACGAGGACTCCGGTTTGTTTTTAGCGTCTTCCAGAGAACCCAAAACGAAGGTATTCTCGTACTCTCGTTTGTTTTTGTGGTGAATCTCATGTTCTTTGTCAGATTTTCTGGGTTTAATCGTGTTTTGTTTCCTGGATTCCACGTGGGGTTTTTTTGTAAACTTGGATGATTCCGTTATGCATCTGGGTTGAACGCGAACTCAAAAGCGTTGTCTGTAGAATTCTTAGTAATTGAGCTTCATTCTTATGTCTGGAAATAAAGCTGTGTTTGGTCTGTTCTGCTCCTGTGGGAACTAGGGTTTTCTTACTTTAACCAATAAGCACCTGAGGATCATATCGTCGATGATACGCTGGAATTTGCCGATGGTTTTGGATGTTTCTCTCTACCGCAATGTGCAATTTGTAGAGGGTGGGAATCGGTTGCATCACTTCGTGTAGG